AATGATCGAAATATATTGCTAGTGGTGAAAAAAGTGGTATTTATACACCTTGGTAGGAAATGATAGGTATCATTACCAAGGGGACCTTTTACCCTTCGGCTGAAGCCTCAAGGGAATCTCGGTCCCTGGGTAATAACAATATAAATAGCTACTTTTGTGTATAAGTATCTATTTCTCAATTGAGGTAGAGGTACTTCTCAGTTTACCGCCACCTTGGTTTCAAGAGAAAAAAAACTGTGATAAGTCATCGGAAATGAAAATACTGAAATGGAATATTCTCAGATATTCGCATTTTCTCAATGTGATGAAGATAATAATTCTTTCTCGGTTTATTCAACAGAAAACAACTAATTTCCTGGCTATATGCCACGACGAACATTGAATTATATCTATTGAACACACACGATAAGAATTTGAAAACAGAATCTTCTGAAGTAGAGAATTTGCATTCTCCTTCATGTAAAGATATGCACATAATATTATTCAACAGAAAACAACTACTTTCCTTGGCTATTTCTCGCGTCAAAAAATGGAATTATATATCTGCTGAACATCCAAAACGAGAGCATGAAAAATCAAAATCCTCTGAAATTGATAATTGACATTATCTCTCGGATCGAATAGAATAATATGATGTATTATGATATAAAAATATATCTTACCAATATGTTCAGTATTGAAATGAAAATTGAAATGTATAGGAGAGGTATACTTGTATGAACTCTGATCTTGATGACCTTGAAACTTCCAAAAAAATCATTCGTACCAGTGATATGGGAATTATATTTCTCACAAAAAGGTTATATGACTTCACTCGAATAAAACTCATTTCGGATATCAAATCGTCATCAGTAACCTGAAGTCCAGTTATTCTTTTAGCCATTCTTCATGATATACACAATTTTCATCCCCCTATAATATAACTAAAGCTATAACTCCTGTCATGTGTGCATATGTTTTTGGATGTATGATGAATTGATATTCATCATACAGGACGTGGAAAGAAATTCTGAATTGAGAAAAACTAATCAAGAATTTGCGATTGAGGTCTATAAAAATAGCAAGTTTCCATCGTTCAAGTTTGATCCAAAAAAATGAATATACTCCTTATATAAATTGTAATCAATTCACTAGATGTCCATGATCATTGTAGTTCAAATGTACTCGTTCTAATTTATGACTGATATTTAAACTATTAGCATGTCTCCAATATGATCAACAAATAGCGTAATATATTACGTGCAGTATAGTATAATATTTATTCATGTATTCACACTTACACTTTGTCAATAAATACATCACATCCTGTCCCATTCAGCAAAAGCTTTCCTTCACAAGCGGACATAGTTATTGATGTAACTGAGTTTTTGCTCTATTTTCAAACAGCTATTTTCACTCGGTAATAATAATCTACAAAAACAGTTTAGAGAAAGTACTATCAAGGTCTTGTTATAATGCAACGAGATGTTCATACAAGTTAAAGATACTGTAATTGGAAAGTAAAAATTATAGTTATTGCAAAAAAGTTTTATACGCCCAATTATATTCTCGCCAAGAAGAAGAGTATCTAATTATTTGAGATGACCATATAGACAATAATAGCAACAAATTACTCGTTCATGAGTTGTGATCATCAGCGTGAAAAAAAAATCCAATCTATTTGAAGGAAAACTTTGCTGGAATATATGATTCATTTTTTGTGTGTCAATTGATAATGAGCCCATTAGATGTGAGCATTTCAAAGATTTCTTAATTGGGCTTCAATTATTTGGCTGAATGATCAATTAAATTTTCACAGTGAATTAGTGAAACCCTTCAATTCAATTCATTCATCTGCAAAAGGAATGCTTGAATATTGAAAAAACATTTTCACCAATTCTAATTAGGTACCTTCAAATAATTGAATTATTCATTTTTCACTTGTCAATTATTACTGCTTTGTGATAACGCCCTATGGAGGGCATTATGAATCATAACTCCTGCTCATTGTTTTTTTCGGTAGTACGATAAATTAATTACTCAGAAAAGTTTCATTTATATAACTCTACCTGAAGGAGGACTACCTATTTAGTATCTGGAGTATTATTGGTATATCTACAAACGATGTATTTAACTTTGAATTTATTGAAGTCTCAACTATTATAAATGCAACCAACATCTTGCCAATCTAACACTTCTCACATAACCTTCTCTCATCTCATATACAGGATGTGTTTCACATACAATAGTCCCATACTACATCCTCCTTTTTCAAATAACTATCAAATCAACTTGCAAATAATAGTATATCATTCAACAAGCATATAATGAGGGCTATTATCCACGAAGGACGACATTAGAAAAACTGAACATTGAAGATACCTGTCAATTATTTATTTTAATAATTATTTGTCCTCAAGCGAAACGATAACCATTTGTCACATCAGTGGATAATAGCGGTGAATAACCATTATTCACTGGTCTGATAGTATATTATTCAACAAGCATTTAATGAGGGCTATTCATCACGAAGGTTAAGTTTATGTCACGAGTGTGGCGAGTATTATATTAGTATAATTAACCTGAGTTAAATTATACTAATATTTTCATTTATATAAAGGAGAGGAGAAGAAATCTCGAGGATCTGAAGAAATAGTGTGTAATTGTGTGTGTAATAACTGTTGTTACTTTCTTCCATGATAATGTGAATTTCTCGAATTCGGAATATTTGTTTGAACCAAAGGAATATTCCAAATGATGAATAAATTATTGAATTGTTACGGGAGAATGCATTTTCTGATGATGAGAATCGGGGTGTTGAACAACTTTTTGATCTATATATTTATATTCTATAGATATCTTCATGGACGATGCTCTTCTGAAATATCAACAATTGTTCTTCCCTTGGCAGTGCCCCCTAGATTAACCCGTCGAGTTGAGGCTTCACACCCCTTCGTAGTCTCTTTGGAGACCTGCAGAACATATCTTTCCAAAGACTCGTTCATCCAACGAACAGCGAGGCTCTGGAACACGTTGCCAAGGAAGGTGTTCCACGAACTATATAACCTCCAGAAATTTGAATAAAACACCAATTCCTACCTCATTTCCCTTGGTTCTCACGATGTTCTCTGAACATTGCAGTATATTCCTTTTCCTGAGAGCCAGAACATATATATAAATGAATGTTTGACTGTATGTCCTTAATAAAATCGTAATCGGCTTGACCGATTTCACTGTATCTTTTCTTGTTGTGTTTGTTATTGTCATAGGAGAATGAGGTTCCTTTGAGAAAAAAAATTAGAAATTTACGATGGCGGATCCAATATGGCCGACGAGTTTTGTAATTATAATCCGATTTCATTCAAAGTTGGTATCCGCAGGATTTTGCGGTCAGAGATTGTGATTCTTTTATTAAAATTGGAAAATTCATGATGGCAGATCCAACATGGCGAACGAGTTCTTCAATTATAATCCGTATATATTCAAAATTGGTATTTGGGGGAGTTTGGGGTCGAAGATTTCGATTTTTTCATCAAAATTTGCAAATTCTAGATGACGAATTTAACATGGCGAAAATGTTTTGGAATTATGATCCGATTCTATTAAAAATTGTTATCTATGGGGTTTTGGGGTCGAAGATCATGATTCCTTCGTCATAATAAGAAAATTCAAGATGGCGTATCCAATATTTCGAACGAGCTACGTAATGAATAGTGTTTTAAAAAAATATAGGAACACGCTTTCATAGATAGCAAAACTAGAAAGAACTAGGAAATCAATAGTAGTTCAGAAAACTTGAGAGATAGTTTAATGAACTGAAAAGAAGTAGAAAATAAATAGTGATATGAGAAACTTAGAAAACACGCTTTTATGGTTAGTCAAACTGAACAGAAGTAGAAAATTGAATAATAAAAGTGTGTTGTTGAATATCCAACTGAAAAAATATTTTCTTGAAAAAATATACATAGCAAAACAAAAAATGTACATAGCAAAACAGCATACCAAGTACAGGGTGATTCACCATGAATGTCCCCCCCTCTAGCTCAGTTATTTTGAAATCGATCGCGAAATTTAAGGGATCATACAGGGTGCTCGGACAGGACGATCTACAGGGTACTAGTTGATTTTCTGAAATGGTATTTCATTTCATTTTTATATTCTCCCTGAAGAGCTGATTCCATCAATACATCATACTCCGGGTGTAGCGGGAATATTTACGGAGGTATAGGGTGTTCAAAATCGAGATTTTTCAACTTTGTGTCCAAACTATTCATTATTGGTCAAAACGAGTCATATCTAAACTTTTGATTTTTCAACTATTGACATTTACTCGGAACACTACAGGGTGGTGCAATGAATAGCTTCGACAGAAAAAAATACTTGAGTAGAAAAATCTCGATTTTGACCTATGTCTCTGTAATCATTCACGCGAGACTTCTAGTGTGATACATTGATGAGATCAGCTATTCAAGGAGAATCTAGAAATGCAATGAAATACAGGGTGTTCCATTTGAGAAAATCAACAAGTACCCTGTAGATCGTCCTGTCCGAGCACCCTGTATTTTTTGATGTAACAGAAAAAAACTTTATCAACAATTATTTCAAGTGATTCCTCAAATTTTGCGATTGATTGAAAAATAACTGAGCTAGATATGGGGACATTTATGGTGAATCACCCTGTACTATTTCGTGAATTTGTAATCTCGAAAAAATCTCGGATGAGAATGAAATCTCACTGTCTGTAGCGGCACATCCTCCAACATTACAGAAGACCAAGTGAATCGACGGTATCTTCAGTGCGCGAAGAGCGAAGAATTTAGCTGAAGAAACAGCGAAGAATCCACGGCCACCCTACGATCAGGTCCATTCGACATACTTGCAATTGACCATATAAAAAGTTCCCGCTTGGCAGCATTTCCATTCCTTTTGCAACTTTGGGCATGCTTCTTTGAGGCAAGCTTCAAAGAAATTTTGCGTTTAGATTTTTTTTTTTTTTGAAAAAGTTTTCCTAATCTGTGACCATGGACTTGAAAGTGGTTTGTGTTGTGGCAGCTGGATGTTTCCTGTTTGGTTTAGCACATGCTAGCCCTATGATTGATGATACCAAAGGGCATATCAATTCGGTGAGAAATACATTTGATTTCATTTCCTTGAAAAAAACATACGTCCATTTCTTTAAAAAATAACTAACACTTATTATTCCACATGTTTTTGGGAGTATTTCTCCTCGTTTCTATAAAATAAAAATATGAATACTATTTCGATATACGTGTGAGGACAAATCAGATGATTTGCCCCAAAACGTCACTGCGTTTGAAGAATTTTCTTATCAGAGAGCCTAAAAGAGAAATTCACTAGCTCGTCAGTGACAATTTGTATTGAAAAAGGTTTAGAAAAGAGAAATAAAGGTATATAGAAAAAAGTTTTCAAGGAATCTGCTTGCATTCTTCTGAACGGAGACAATAGTATTGCTTCTTGTTCAGTTGATATAGACAGAACATGGTATTCACTACTGAAATCTGATAATGAAAATAGGAAATTCAAGATAAAATAATGAAAACATCCTGTAACTCATTTGATTGCCAAGGTCACCAATTGTCACTGAGAACTGAAAAGTTTCAAGACAGATACCGATTTCCTAGTCAAATATACATTTTTTATGTTGGAAACGGAAGCAGATTCGGTCCCGAATTTGATATTTTTTCTATATAGGTACCTTTATTTCTCTTTTCCAAACCATTTCTACACAAAATGTCACTGACAAGCTAGTGAATTTTTCTTTCAGGCCCTCTGATAGGGACATTCTTTAAACGCAAAAAAAATGGAATAATGAATGTACTACCTCCTCATATAACTAACACTGTTTTGTAACTCATGCAAAAAATAGTGAGTTTCAGATTCAATAAAGGTTACTTGCACTTCATGAGATTAAAAAAAGTCGTCTTTCCTGGATGTAATCTAGATGTGAATGTTATCACTTCTGAAGATTTCACAATAGCTCAGGATTTTCATCAATCATCATTCGGGCCAATTGAAAGAAAAAGAGTTCAAATTTTTTTAAACATGAAGCAAAATCTTCGTACATACAGAAAGGAATTGAATTTCATGACCTTCTCACCTAAGAAGAAATTGTTCGTATTGGAAGGCAGGAAAGTATGAATCATATAACTTTGATCCAATTATTAAAAAAGTTTTTTTCATGAATCACAACTAATAGTTTGGAATTAATTATTTCTAATAATGAAAAAACGGTTCATATTTCTGAATAAAATCAAGATGCTTAGTTAAAACACGGTATGTTGAACAATTAGAGCTATTTCCACTATGCATAGATTATATATTCTGATTTAATGCACACAATCGTTATACAGCAATGATTTATGATGATTAAATTTCGGAATCACTGAATCGTAACCACGTGGCCATCATAAATGTGATAAACTGAACATGTTGAGATAACGATATGATTGGATAATCTTTAGCGCAATTAACTACCTCATTTTGAAGAGTTTTTATACTCCATCAAAATAATATTGAAATACGTGATTGATAATTTTATAGATCTACTATTGCAGATCCTATAGAGATTGGAATTTATGAATATCATTTCGAGAAATGTCGATGAAAAAATGTTGTGACAAGATGAATTATGTGTTATACACAATGGAGATTAATTGACACCGTACTGAGGTTGAACCTAGGTAGTTTGAGTGATATAACTTGATTTATTTATTATATGACACATGGAATGTCAACTTGAAAATATCATTAGATTCTGAATCTGAAGATATCAACAATTCACAAAGATGCAAAAGTTGAATTGATTTCAAAACAATACTACAGTTTTTGTTTGCAAACATATAGAAAATTGCCGTCTAGACCGCAAATTTAGGTAATATATGAGTCTGTGTCAGAAGTCACATGTCACATGTCATATAGAACATTGGTATTACATACAGGGTGGGCCAATAGAAGCTTTCTTATTCAATTTGTAGGATTTAAACTCAAAATTTTGGAAAACACTCGAACACGTCGATTTTTGATTTGAAAGAGAACTGGTTTCCAGCTTTTCTCACCCTCGTAGCGTTAACCCTGAAGCTGTGGGGCAAACAACCCTCAAAAATTCGCATATGGCAAAGAAACCGTGCTATACGTCTCTTTGAAGGTATCATTGAGTTCTTCTGGGCCCTATAAGTTTGCCTTATTATTTTCATCAATAACGAAATGACAGCTAGTCGAAATATTGGGAAAAGACTACTATTTTCTATATGAAATTACCAAAATATTGAAGTTTTAAGTTCAATAATGAGGTGTACACGTCAAATTTATCTCATAAACTGTTTAACGTGTACATTTGATCATTAAACTTGAAACTTCATTCATTTTTGGTATTTTTTTTAATATTTCCACGATTTTGACCAGCTGTCATGAAGTTATCAATGGAAATAACAAGGCAAAATCAAAGAAGCATGAAGAATTTGATGAGACCTTCGAAAAGAGATAGGACACGACCCCTTTTCCCTATGCAAATTTCGAGGGTTGTTCACCGTCTAGCTACAGGGGCAAAAAAAGCTGAAAATCATTTCCAGCATTTTATGAAATTTTGATTATAAATCCTACAAATTGCGGTAAAAATTTTCCATTGGCTCATCCTGTATAGCAAAACATATAGCGAACTCTATAATTTCCATCTTAATGCGATAAATTAGAATCGATTTCATTTGGAATTCTCACAATGCCACTGGATTATATCCATTTTCTCCTATCTCAACAAACTGGAATAATGCATATCACGATATACACACCTGGAAGAAGAAAAATTGAACTTGTGCTTGTAACTCTGAAACAAAACACTTTGGCAAACTTTTGTTGATTGAAATTCGTCTAGAGAAATATCGATTTTTTGTATCTCGTATATACAGGGTGGTCCGGTTTGTGATACAAGAAATTCAACAGTGTGTTGTACTCGTTGAGGTGATACAAAAAGTTCACATAAACATATAATTTTGGAAGCGTCGCTTTCGAGATATGGGGTGTTAAAAATACGAGTCTGAATATTGTTTTTTGATGAAAATATCGAAACTATTTGTGATAAATCAACAATATTTTTGAGAGGTATTAAACTTTCTACGCTCTATGAGATGCAATGAAAATTATTTCATGAAGTGATTCAGATGCGGCTGAATCCGGGGTGATGAAGAAAAAATTAATCACCCTTATTTTAAGTGCATTCAATTTTTCATTTTCGAGTACAAATTGTGAAAAGAGATAGATTTCTGCGTTCTTTTGTATTTCATCAATGCGTTACAACGCTTCAAATTGAATCGGATTAACGATATGAGAAATCTGACCCTCGATCTGAGCTGATACAGAATAATAACTGAACAAACACAATAAACTTCTGATCTACCTTAATCACCTCCAGATTCAGTTGAAACCGAATTACTCTATAAAAATTAAAAGTCAAGTATATGTGAGATATTCTTTAGATTTATCTCAAAATTTTTCAAACTTTTCATCAAAGAACGACTCGTATTTTCAACATCCTATATCTCGAAACTGACGCGTTCAAACGCGTTGAATTTTTTGTATCAGGAACCGGATCACCCTTACACAAGCATGAGGAATCACCCCTACTGAAGAGTCACTATTCCTAATACACAAATATTCACGCTATTTTTCATGCAGGTTCATCAAGAGAAACCGACAATTGAAGAATCCCTGTCCAAGAAACTCAACGCCAAATGCTCGCAGCAAGACATCAGCTCCTGTCTCATGCTGAAACTAGTGACCTACTTCAACAAGCTCATGAAAAAGTCGAATCTTGAATTCGGAGACGTGGAAATCACACAGACTTCGACAGAAACCATCCAAATAGAGAATTCCAGGAGCCTAAACGACATTGAGAAGATGTCCGAGGAACAACAGCTGACTGAAGTTTTAGCAGATAAAGCACTGCATTTCTTGAGGACCAGGTCTTTGAAATGGAAGGTTAGTGTATATAGAGAGTCATTCATAATTTTGACATTATATGGAAAAAACTTTCAATAATAATTTATTCCTAAATTGGACTTTGGCGTTAAGATCTGCTTTGAAAAATTCAAAAAATATACGACTAGTTCGGAGTCACGTGACTTCGCTGCATGTCAATAAAAATATTTGTTCAAATTGTTTGCATTTGCCTCAATTCACTTTGTCATCGTCAACTTTATTCGAATTTCAACTTTTTTCACTTTCATGTAAGTAAGCAATCATTGTATCTTTATCCTTAGTCAATACCAGTTTTTTTTTCTAGAACTGTGAACCAATCATCGGCTGATGATGGGCTTATACAAGTCCGAAACATGTATCTTTCATGATCTTCAATCAATGAAAATTGTGGAGAAGACTTTGGGTTCTTCATTCATGAGGCTAATTAGTTCGAATTTCAAAAAATGTTACTAAGAAAAGTTGTTTCTCTTCAAATTCAATAAAAGTATCTCATACTTTTACGTATATGACAAATTTCAGTTCTCAATATTTTTTCAATTTCTACGAGATATCTGTGATATTGTGAAAAATCAACAAAACTTTTCATTCTACTAGCTCCATCATGCTACTAACTTTGAATCACTAATTATAGACAAAAATTTGATTCTGTTCAGAAGATAATAATCTCTGCTTCAAATTCCTGTTATGTTTGATGAAAAGTTGATGTATCGCCTATCATTCAGGTGCAAAATTCATTTAAATCGATTTTTTCAGTACTATAATGATTCCAAAGTCATCTATCAAAATATCATCAAACTAATTTATTCAACCAAAACTTAGGATAGTTTTGTCGAAGTTACAAATAGAAGAAATCAAAAAATATTGAGAGCAAAAAATTGCAATAGGACGTTCAAATTCGAAACACATGTGTGGAATTGAAAAAAAAAACTCTCTGTAAACTTTCTCGAATTTAAAAAACGAACCTATTTTCAGAGATTAATTTTTGGAATAATTTATTTTTGACATGTAGGGAAAGTTACGTGACTCCAACAGAGTTGACGATTTTTCGTCTTTTTTAAAGCAAAACTCAAGTCGAATCTCAAAATCAGTTATTATTAAAAGTTCGGGAATCGTTAATCTGTTAAGCAAAAGTTCCAATGAAGCTCAATTACGTTTTGAAAATATATCAATCATCCGTCTTCTCAGGTTTCTTTGGGATTACAAACGCAGTGGAGTGCCTATACAAAACATTCAATCTGTTAGAGTTCGTCATGTTACCTTTGGTCGATTCAATTCCTGAAGAAAACAATCGATCACTTTGTATATCATAGTTACGATATTATCTCATGTAATTCATTTATATCATTAAGAAGTAATTGAAAACTTCATATTTTAGTCCTTTTGATATCAAATAGCTCCCAGGTAGGTTTTGTTCGTACACAATCAATTGCCAGTGGCATTTTGATTTGAAAAATGTTTGAGGAAGAGAAATAATGTAGGAATAATATATAGAAATATCGAAAAAACATCGGAGTTTCACTTACCTTTGGACGTTTTGGAAACGAATCTGCGTTCGTTTTCCACATGAAAAATGGAGAATATTCTTTCACTTTATCTTTAGATATCAGTGTTGAGACTTCTCCAGTGACAGATGATGATGAAGTAGATATAGGTACGAATGAGTTACACGATGTTTCCATTTCTCATCTTGAATTTACCATTTTCATGTTCGAATTTCAGTATAGTGACTACCATGTTCTATCTACATCAACTGAACAGGATGCAATGCTATTGACTTCAGAAAAATGAAAGCATATTCCTTGATTCTTTCCATTTGATTGTTATCGGAATGTCCAAAGATACGTAATAATTTGATATTTTTTCGATATATCTATATATTTCTCTTCTTCAAACATTTTTCGAGATCGAGTGTCACTGACAATCGTTTGAATATTTCTTTCAAGCTCTCTGAAAGTCAAATTTTCAAACGTGTTCAGATTTTGGGGCAAATCATCTGATTTGCCTGATGAACCAGCTCCTCTATTAACCTACAGACAGTATTGATGTTAATGATTCTATAAATAATGTCGGAAGTATCATAAGTTCTCAGTGATTTATTCATACACATACCAGATGGATGGGAAGTGAGTTGAAGCAACTTTGTACTATCAAATTCGAAGTTTCTGTTACATTTGCAAATTGGTCCTAACTTCAGCTAACTAATATTCACACCCTAACTATATTATTCCTCTGTTATACATAATATATGCTAACGACCTTAGGGAAATTCATGTCGTGTTTCAACCAGATAGAAATTTCCAAATATATTTTTCATACAAGGTTCACACTTTAGCTAATGCTCTACAATTATATTCCATTGCTATCTAGATTCCAGAACATACATGATGTGGCTTCTTCAGTATTTTTATGAGCATCTGCACTAGACTTTCCAATGACCATAAAATATATATCATACATCGTACAATTTCTACGAATGCCACAGGATGATAATGCAAAAGAAAGTTCTAGCCATTCAACCATACAGATCTAGAAAAGGTCAATGTGAAAACGACGTGTCAGAAATACTTTGCTGGAAAATCTGCTACGAGTTAATTGCCAATTTAACCCAGAATTCTCTAACGTTCTCACATCAATCACAATGCTCATTTGTTCCATTCGGCATCACGTATAAAGGTCAATAAGCAACGTTAGATCGAAAGGTATCCACAGATTATTGTAGATTTGACCTTGATGACTATATTTATTACTGCATCTTGAATTCCTCTCTTCTTCTGCTGATAATTCCATTATACAATAAATTTTCATCCAGATCATTTGGTGATGGATTTTTTTCTCGAGGGTGATGCCTCGCTCATAAATTCATGCTCTTCTGCAATATCAACAATTGTTCCTCCCTTGGCAGTCCCGGCTGGGTTAACCCGTCGAGTAGAGGCTTCCCACCCCTTCGTGGTCACTCTGGAGACCTGCAGAACATCTCTTTTCAAAGACTTGTTCATCCAACGATCAGCGAGGCTCTGGAACACATTGTCATGGGAGGTTTCCCAGAGGCATATAATCTCCAGAAATTTGAGAAGAATACCAATTCCTACCTTATTTCTCTTGGTTCTCACGATGTTCTCTGTACATTACAGGAACATAAAAAAAATTGGGAGGACTCCTTGATGCAAAACTTATTGGGTAAAGTTTGGTTAACGTACGTTGAAATTCGAGGTTCACCCGTGAGCCCCCTATCAACGCAAACGGGAAGAATTGGAAAATGCGCATGCGTAGTTGTCAATTACAACGTTTACGTTAACGTTAATTCATGGCAACACTTCATCTCTCTCATGTTTGTTTCAGGCATTAGATGAAGCTGACGTCATCATATCAGGCAACTCGGGCAAAGACGGTGCCCTCAACCTCGGTCTGTCCCTCAAACCGACCAAAGACGTGGAGGAGGGCCGGAAGAAGAAGAACCGAGGCGGAAGCGGCATGACCGGCATCATAGCAGCTGCTGTCATGAAAATCGGGTTGATCAAAGCACTCGCCTTCAAGGCACTCGTGCTTCTGGTCGGAAAGGCTCTGCTAGTCAGCAAGGTAAGTTACAGTTAGAATTATACAGTGTTTACATTTTGTTCGTAAGAAAAAACAAATCTCTTCCGTTATTGATGGTTCCCATTTCAAAAATATTTTCAACAATACTGGGTGTGTTATGAAAGCGAGGCGACTCGGAGACGAGCTTTTCCTAATAGAACACCCAGTATTTTTTATTCTAAATTCATTTCGCTGAGCTTCAGCTCTACATCGCTCTAAAGAAAATTGAATTGCGTTGCGGCGTTGTCAAGTTATAATTGATAAACCAATTTTTACCACTATTGAAGGGTTATATTGAATTTTGAAAATATTTTCGGCATAAACAGTAGAAGCAAGGTCTCACGTACACCAATCCAATTATTTTGCGAGATGATCCTCTACAGGGTGCTAAAATTTACATTTTGAATATTGTAAGATTCAGACGACGTTCATTAGAATTCCTCAAATGGAACAACCTGTTCTTTTCATCACAGATTTATTTCGATATCATTCGCCTTTTCATCGCTGAAAAAAAAATCAAAATCGGTTGCGGCATTTTCAAGTTATGAGAAATTTCCTTATGTTTTTCATTATCTCAGGGCTACTTATAAGGCATAGTTCTTTTATTTGAATACAAACAATGAAGATTTGGATTGCGAGAATGAGGAATTTTTCTTCAAATTTGGTTCACTTTTATTGTCGTTATTTCCACAATTCAAATCTTCATTTTAATTTGATGGAGACAAATTTTTCATAATGATACAAACAATATTTCTTTTCACTACGCGGGAAATTCAAGATATATTTCATCGTGGCAATGTTTGACAAGTCATTAAACAAATAATGAAAGTGTATTTCGAAAAATTAATGGAATAGACTGCATAAAATCTGTGAAAGCAGCATTTTGAATCAATTTATCAAAACCCACTCTGTTTCATATTCATACTTGGAGAGCCTGTAAATGTTCCTATTGTAAAAAAATATATGGAAGGTCAATGAAAAAATTCGATTATACCGTGGCAACGCAATATTTCCACAAAACAGATAAATGAAAGAACTATGACGCACAAATTACCCCGAAATAGTAGTAAAAATAAGGAAATTATGCATAACTTGACAACGCCGCAATCGATTCATAAATAAATGAATCGTCCTTTTTTGTCAATTTCTATCCAACGAAAATTAAAAAAAAACAATTCACATGAACTCAGTTGAGGATTGAGAGTTATCAGCTTCGTCGAGATTGAAAATTTATTCGAACGATTTTGTTTCATATTTTTTTATTGAACCAATCAAAGTGTGCCATGCTTATTGAAGGGCAGTTCTCAAGGCACTTCGTCTGATTTTTCTGAATCTGATGGAATTCTTCGAGAAGAGTGATCAAAAAGTTAACTTTTTTGACATAACAATGGAGCATGAATTTTTCTCAAGTCCGGATCTGGATATCTTTCCATAACATGCCATCATGATTAGTTTCAATAGAGAAAGAAAGTTCTCAAGATTCAGCAAACTAAGATGAATCAATTCTGAAATATCGGTCATCAAAATAATATGGCAATTCCACATAATACTCAGAGTAAAAAAAAATTGTCTTGATCACCACTATTCACCATATGGCTATGTGAGTCCCCTCATGAATCACCCTGTATGATAGGATAGGTCATTCACAGTTGAATATCGCAGTGTCAGCAGATCAGAATCGAAGAAGAGACATATGCAGAGCAATAAACGATATCAATTACACTACTGTCATCTATCATCGGTGATGAAAAATTGGAATATTTCGGGCACATATATACGGTCTGGTTTGTGTGATTCTACGCTGCAAATTTTTCATGGAGGCCTTTTTGTAGATATTGAATCCGGCTAACTTCCAATAAACGTTCAATTCTCGTCCAGGTTGAATGAAACGAATCAGGCAATTTTTATTAACGCTTGTTGCTCCAATCATCCTCCAATTCAATTTCATCTTGTACCATTCAATACGATTTCATTCCATGCCAATCGTTCACGTGAGATGTGGTGGAACCTTTTTTTTTATTTCTCGAAGATATGAAGTGGATTCTGATGATTTGTGATATATCTGCACATTTCTCCATGTGGAAAGTCTAATATGTTTCAGAAATCTGTCACGCACAGTATAGTCAACAGAGGAAAGATTTAGGATTTTTATATTGGACACACCTTGAATTTCCACCCTTATTATAATTAGATGATATACAGGAAGGTTTTTCAACATATGTAATGCACAACTCCAAAAATATATTATTTCTTGGGTAAAATTTGAAAAATATGTATTTCAATGTATCTTTGGGAATGACTTAGATTCCAAGATACAGGATAAAAAAAGTTTTTCAATTAGATGGAAATAGCTTGCATTCATTCGGAATTTCCTTATTCTTTCAAACAAAGCAACTGTAAGAAAATATCTGAATCTTCAATTAACTTTTCCTGAGGCAAAAACTCGGATGCTCAAGATTCCACAAGAACTGCTTTTATATGAATTTTCTGTATGATGTCCATTATTGACTTTGTTATATGGAGAGCTGAATTCTCTTCATCACCCCAATTTTGATCAATGGAATATCCTCCATATTTTTGACATATTATGTTTGAAAACTACCCTGTTTGCTATGAATTCAGTTCCGATAACTTCATACAAAGAATCATTTCTCCAATGGAAACAAGCTCTAATTCAGGAGATCCAAGAATATGAATTATTATTTTAAATCTGTATATAATACTTTCATTTCGAATTTCCGACGAACTAATATAATGATTCCCAGAAAATTAAACCCATCTAAATTCTCCGAAATCAACAATTCATTCATGGCATGCTTTTGGATATTCCTGATGAGGGATTTGAACACAAAGTTCTCTAGATATTGTTATTGAATGAGTTCAGATCGCTCGATGAAAGTTTTTCACAGGGAATTCAACAATCCACCTCACAGTTCTGAGTTTTCTTTCATCTTTTGTTCAATATAACCACATTCGAAACATGAACAGGATTTAGTCGTCACGTTTTCAATTAGGAAAGTCTTCAACAACAAGCAAAATCTCATTCAGATCTTACAGAAACCATTACGTGGAGTTGCTCATATGCAATTTCGAAGAATAATGCAAAATTATAATATTATTCATTGGCAGGAAACAGAAAGTGTCTGTGGCAAAACATAAGAAACAATCTAAAATGAAGAAAACTATATGTTCCTATTACAAAAAAACAAAAAATCGTGAATTATACTACAGCTCTAATCATCTTCATTTGTGTCTTCAATATCTGTTTCTGGAAGGTTGTCTGGTACATCAGCAGAAGTCTTCATCTCCAGATATTTCTGTCGATATTTGATAGGAATAACATTCTTGCTACATAACTCTATCAGTTCTTTTTTTTTTGGAACTGACAAATTCAACTCATGAGTGTATAACCTCTTAGGTTTTTTATTCATAGTTCTCTCTGTTACTTGAACATTCAACGTTTTTTCAGAGCTGAACTTTTGACTTTACGATAATGTCAAAAAGTCATTTCCTGAAGAATTGTTACTTACGATGTTCTGACAAAAAGGACCCCGCACTAAACTATAGGGAAAATGGCTCTCGATGAAAATCGCTGAATTTTCGGCATTTTGCAGACTTTGATAATTATACTAAACAGATATTCCATTGAACCAACCTCAAAAAATGGACAGCTTTTGCGATATTGACCTCCAAATGTCATTTTTTCGAGAAAAAAAAAGTATCTGAAAATGGTTGAATTTTTGGCATGTTGTAGAGAGGAATGAAATGGTGAAAAAATCTAATTGACCTAACCTCCAAAAATTGACGGTTTTCTCGATATTGACCTCCAAATGTAATTTTTTCGAAAAAAAAAATCTTTGAAAATGGCTGAATTTCTAGTATGTTGTAGATAGGAATAAACTGATGAAAAAATTCAATTGACCTAACCTCAAAAAATTGACAGTTTTTCGATATTGACCTCCAAATGTACGTATGGAAAATAAGATGAATGGAACAATAATCAAGATATAAAGTTGCTGTTTTCGAATTAGTATTTGGCATTTCATCCTTCTAAAAACAACTTGAAGCCGAACTGTGGCCGAAGAGAGGATGTAATGAAATATATATTATTTAAAAGATGGTTATAGTCTCCGTTATAGTCTTTCCGATGTCAATGGGGTTGTAGGTATACACACTAGTTGAATTTATGGCATATATATCTATTTTATTTCCATCATTCCATCTATCATAAAAGTTCCTTGAATTTTGGTCAATAGGATTTTTTTAACAGTTCATTCATATATACAACATATCTACTCAATCCAGCCATTTTCATGAATTATTTTTCGAAAAAATTAGATTTGGAGGTCAATGTCGAAAGAACTGTCAATTTTTTGAGGTTAAGTCAATTTAATTTTTTCATCAGATTATTCCTATCTACAACGTACCAGAAATTCAGCCATTTTCAGAGATTTTTTTCTTGAAAAAATTATATTTTGTTGTCAATATCGAGAAAACTGTAAATTTTTTGAGATTTTTTTCTTGAAAAAATTATATTTTGTTGTCAATATCGAGAAAACTGTAAATTTTTTGAGGTAAGGTCAATAAAATTTTTTCATCAGTTCATTCCTATCTACAACATACCAAAAATTCAACCATTTTCAGATCCTTTTTTTTTTCTCGAAAAAATGACATTTGGAGGTCAATATCGCAAAAACTGTCCATTTTTTGAGGTTAGCTCTATGGAATATCTGTTTAGTATATCAAAGTCTGCAACATACTAAAAATTCAGCGATTTTCATCGAGAGTCATTTTCCCTATAGTTTAGTGCGGGGTCCTTTATCGATGTGTCATGTCATTTTTGATTGAAAGTGGATATAACCGGTTTTGCACGCGACCTCCTCATTTGTTCTTGTCTTGCTTTCAGCTCGCCTTGGTTCTCGCCGTGGTGATCGGGCTGAAAAAGCTGCTGAGCCAAGAGAAGCACGTGACCTACGAGGTGGTGGCCCACCCCCACCACGAACACCATGACCACCACTCTGACCACTCGGGCGGCGGTTTCGACGCCCACGGAAGCGTTGGCGTGGGCGGAGGCGGTTGGGGCAGGACTTTCGACGCCCAGGCTGCCCAGAACCTTGCCTACAGTGCACACATCCCGGCTAACTAATGGGCGTGATTTGGGCGTGGGCGTAACATGGGCGTGGGCGGCTTGGACTTGACTTTCGATGCCTAGGTTGCCCAGAGCCTTGTTTACATTGCTCACATTCCGCCCAACTAATGTGTGGAGTTGGGCGTGGGCGCTTAGGGCTCAATTTTCAATGTCCAGGTCGCTCAGAACCTCTTTTTTGCGCCCATATACCAGCGAACTGATGGGCGTAATTGGATTTGGGCGTGTTCGGAAAGGGCACCATATTGGTGCTTTGCTGTTTTATTTTGTCTGAGTATTTATTGATGATATTTATTTTTGAATGTGTTTGTGTTGTTTTTGTTGTTACGATAAAAAAAATATTTTGTTACATATACTCTAGTTTTATTGTTTTTCAATGAGAAATGTTGGTTCGATACATTTCTTGACATTTCAAAAGGAAATTGATCACTTTACAGATCGAGCATAAATAGGATTATTGAAAAATTATACCCGAAGGTCGAAGGACCGGTAAGAATGCCAAAATTTTGACTATAATATTGAAATTTTGACTTCTATGTTGAAACTCCGATATACATCTGTGCATTTCGACCTTTGAAATGAAAAATTGAAAACTAATTCAATTTGACGAATGATCCTCATCACTAATGTTTTTCTACTGCTTTTAGAATGAACCTATCTCAACTATCTTTGATAAATAAATGGAAAACATCGCGAGTCTTCAATTCAACTTTCCTACTTGATGGAACAATGCAACAGTGACTTCAATTAGAAGTAATACTCTCAGATAAAGATGTCCCTCCTCTGTGAAGAAATGGTTATATATAAAGGAATACATTGAAAATTCGCATCATCTATGAAATAATCAATTCTTCCTCGGTTCATTCAACAGATAACAACTACTTTCCTGGATATATGCAACAACGAACATCGAATGAGATCTATTGAACACACGATAAGAATTTGAAAAAAAAATCAAAGGCTTCAAACTTGAACGAAGGAAACTTGTTGCTTCTATTGACCTTTGATTGCAGATTCATGATAAGATTTTCTCAATTCAAAATTCTTCTCAACGTTTTGTGTGATGAATATCAAATTGTCATACCTCTAAAAACGACCAGATGACAGGGATTGCATGTCAACAAATGATTCTCAGATGTCAGTTCGTTATAGTTTTTGTTATGTATTATAGAGAGATGGCGATTGTGTATATCCTGAAGAATGATTGACAGAATAACTGGACTCCATGTTACTGAGGAGAGATATGATTCCCATATCACTGATACGAATGATTTGTTGGAAGTTTCAAGCTCATCAAGATTTTAACAAGTTCATTTCTCCCATATATACATTTCAATTTTCACATCATATTATTCATGTCAATTCTCAATTTCATTACTTTTTAGACCAAACATACATCAGGGCTTTCATGTCAAAACTTATCACCCTGCATATTTTCTGATCTGCGGTGATTACAATTTTCAGGAATAGTAGGTCATGCGATGGGTTTCTCTTTAAAAATGTTTTCTGTTCCTCACGAATTTTTGTCAGAAGAACAAAATTTTGACAATGAAATTGTTAACGAACCATTATTTATTGAGATATTTCCCTATAAAGTTACAAATCTCATCTTCTTTTCCGTCTGTCTTTTGGATCGCATTCAGAACAAGTTGTCTTTTTTTATCATTGGATGATAATTTTTATGTGTACTTCAATGACTTCTTGCGATTCATCCATATGTAGTGAGAAGAAAAAATATCATTTGAAATAATAGCGTATGTAACGTCATTCAAACGCAATCTTGTGACATTTGACATCTCGTATTTGGAATTATTATTGATCAAATGGTCGTCATCTGGTATGATTGTTCACTAAATATGAAAAACTCGCCATAAAAATCATATTTTGTGCTGTATTTTCTATATGAATATGTGTCATTGAGTAGCTGTGGATGTATTCCAGACAGGGGGAAAAAGTAGGCGAAATTTGAACTTTTTTTCGAACTATCTCGATAAATAGTGATTTGTTCACATTTTCATTATCAAAATCGTGTTCTTCAGACAAAAATATGTAAGTAACAAAAAATTTCTCCGAAAGAAACCATCGCATGATGTGTGCAATATCACCCGATTTAGATATCGAGGGAGATGGGAACTATCAGTATCGATTGTCCATCCTCTCCACTTCCAGACACACCAACTTTGAAATTCCAAATGGTACACCCTACATATTCAATTCAATATTCAATTCAACCTGTGAAAGATAGAGATTTATTATACAAGGGAAAAAAGTAGTAGATCTCGAACAAACATGACAAAAGCGGAATTTGTGTTGTGTGGCTAGTGTAAACGACCATTTTGCAGCCACAGACTTGTTCGTCGAACAAGACAGCCTATATACCAACAAAGTAGTGTATGGATCCTTTCACAAAAGCATTCATTTCATCGCCTAGTAACAACCGTGGAAGAAAGTGTGTACTACGTACTACGTACGTTAAATAATGAAGCAGTATTATGATATTGAAAGTCGTACACTTTAGACACACGAAATATATTAGAAAAGTGCAGTTCTCTTACAGTTGTATGAAAATGATTTTTAGAAATATGCTATTCAGATGATTCTAGGGAAGTACCCCCCCACCATACTAAAAATATCATGTCAAATCCATCGCGGAAGCTGGTTAACAAACACGTGGCTTTTCATTCCTTGTGAAAAGCTACTTTATTCCTCAACAGTTTCTTCTGATATACAAATAAGCACAAACCCTATTGCTGTTGGATTCGTTGACGACCCATTCGCCTAGTTAGTGATGCCACACTGACTGATTTCTCGACATTATTGGGCCAATTGGGGGACATAAAGCATGGTGTTTCACAAACAAGATGAAGGAAAAATTATGATGTTATACTTTTCTAGCCTATTCCAATCAATTCATGTATGAGATATGCATGGATTGTTTACATCATGCAGTACCTCAATAGTACTAATCAGAATATAATATGGTAGGTGTTGCGCAATTGCATTGCAGTGTAGCTGTTTCGAAATTGAATAAAATAACGTCCAAAGATGAGTAGAAATTCGATTATTTTCAATATATCTATATTTCTTTCCTTCAAACATTTTTTTCAAACATAGTGTGAATGACAAGCTACTGGATTTTTCTTTTAGGCTTCCTGACAGAAAAAAAAATGTGACGCAGTGACATTTTGGGGCAAATCATCTGATTTGTCCCACTACAAATACATTGAAATAATACGCATATTTTTATTTGATAGAAACGAGGAAAGAAAATCCAAAAAATCAGGTATCACTTATCATGAAAATCCATGTGTAGGAAATAAAACAAATATATTTCAAACAGAACTCATACATTCACAACCAATAAATACATTGATTAAAAGAAAAACTGTTCTTCTTCTTGCCCCAATCTCCCCTAATCTCAACTGTCCGTTCTCACGTACTTCTTGATAGTCACCACTGTCGGTACTACCTTCCTCTTGACCGAATATCTCCGCTTGGCTGCCGGTACCACTTTCATCAATGGTACTGATATATTGCCATCAGGTGGAGCCACTGCATCATAAGAAAGCTGTGAATCTGACGCTGTGAGAGGGTACACGCTGTTATACGGCATATAGTTGAACGAGTTGGTACTGTAACTTCCGGTACCGCCATAACCTTGAAAGAAAAGAATAGGGGCAATGGGCGCAAAAGTTCTTCTTACATATCTTCTCAGTAGGAAATAAAAAAATCCTATTTCAAATAGTTTCAACATGAAGAAAGTAATATTTGGATTGAAAAAATGTTCCTAAAAGTGAGACAAAAAAATAATAGAGTTAAATTGATGTGAGGCGCAAACATACTAGAATCCCATCGCTGTTTCAACTCAAAATAACAGATATTGAAATGTTAGCTCCATTAAAGAGACTTTATAACAATAGTTTTTTTATTTACCTCCGTATTCAATGGCTGGTAAATGGTCATCAACCTCCAAATAAGATGGCTGTTTGTCACTTTTCTTCAGGTATTTACATAGGAGAATCGCAGCTGATACCAATACCGCTATTTTTGTTATCATCAGTGACTTCATCACCATCAGTTTTACTGTACCCAATAGTATTGTCAGAGCACTAGCTTTTGTAGCTCCAATAAAGAAGGGTAGTAGCATGTTACCCATCTTTTTACTTCTTCCTAGAAATTTATAACCGCTTTCTTTTCAATCGACTCGGTCGTTACTTGATGGAACTCCATGTCAAATGTAGAAACTTCACAAACGATAAGATTTCCACAAATTTCTCAAACAAACAACATGTTTCACTGACACAGTATCTTCATCAGGTGATATACTGATACAATGATCAATCAGTTCCCTGGCTAACCACAACAAGGTAACTCATCAATGGGTGCCAGGGCATAAGGACATTGAAGGCAATGAAGCAGCTGACGCTCTTGCCAGGCAAGGGTCTGCGGCGTTGTTTATGGGACCGGAACCTGTGTTCGGTATCCCCAAAACCCCAATACGCGGCTGGCTGGCAAGGTGGATGCAAGAAAGACATCAGGCATACTGGAAAAATGTCCCAGGACAAAGACACAGTGAACTGATGGTTGGAACACTGTCCAAAACAGTGACTAACGACATTCTGAGCCTAAACAGAAGTCAGATCAAACAAGTGACGGGACTAATAACCGGTCACTGCCCCTTGAGGAAACATATGCATCAAATGGGCAACTATACAGACGAACCCATATTCAGACTATGCAATGAGGAGGAGGAAACTGCCACCCATGTAATATTGGAGTGCGAAGCACTAGCGCGTTGGAGCTACAACCTGCTGGGAGCAGTAAACTCTCAAGAGGCATTTTCAGAGAATGATAGGGTGAAGAGGCTGCTAAACCTCATCAAGGTAGCGAACCTGTTCACCTAAGTCAACAGCATGATCAGGAATACAATAGGCCCAAAGGCTGCAGTGTTTTGGGCTTCGAACTCTGACTGGTCATTCTGCTATTAATCAATCAATCAATCAGTATATCACCTGAGGAAGATTTTTTCCATGTTCAGGTTTCCACGAAAAGGGATATCCTGTGATGTTCAGAGATTATCGTGAGAACCAAAAGAAATAGGGTAGGAATTGGTGTTCTTCTCAGAGTTCTGGAGGTTATATGCCTCGAGGAACACCTCTCTTGGCAATGTGTTCCAGAGCCTCGCTGTTCGTTGGATGAACGAGTCTTTGGAAAGAGATGTTCTGCAGGTCTCCAAAGTGACCACGAAGGGGTGCGAGACCTCAACTCGACGAGTTAATCTCGCGGGGATTGCCAAGTGGGGAACAATTGTTGATATTCCAGAAGAGCATCGTCCATGAAAATATCTATGAAATAGAGCCAGATCGCCAAATTTTCTATGGTGTTCCAGAGAAGTGAGTGAATTTGTTAGCGAGGCATCACCCACGAGACGAATTGCCCTTTTTGGACAGAATCCAACAGTTTTAGGGTATGTTTGGGTGCTGCACTCCAAATATGGGGACAGTACTCCAGGACAGGTCGGATTCATGCCTTATAGATCATGAGCAGCTGACTGGAAGTGAAATAGCTCCTGGCCCGAAACAGATACTGTGTTAGCGAAACATTTCGTGTGTATGAGAATTTTGAGGAAATGTTATCGTTTGTGAAGTTTCTAGATTTTATATCTGATAAAACTTTTCGATCTTCACACTCACAGACATACATGTAAGGAAATCTACTAGTAAGATTTGTAACACAAAACCTGACTTCAGAACATTGTTTATGAAACCAATTGAGTTGTTTTACCTTCTTCTTTTTGTTTGATAAAGAAATCTAATTGGACTGCTTCCTTTTCCGGTACCTGGACAGCACTGACTTCCACGTCTCCATAGTCTACTTTCATCGCTATCCTGTCAAAGAAGGAATCATTCTCCACTTTCGTATCTTCAAGGTGGAAAACCATGCCATTTCCAAACTGCCATCCCTTAGGAGAGAATATGTCACTGAGCAACACTGCCTTAGATGCATTCACCACTAATAATAATACTAAATATCTGTAGAACATTTTTGCCAACATGGGAACTGCATCAAAGCATTGCTGCAGCTGCACTGAATAGGTGCATTATAATAAATGATCTGTAGAAGTGATGCCTTCAACTTATAGTTTCTGAAACATGAAGTCAACCCTAACAGTTGCGTGGGTATAATTTTCGCTCTAATGAAAATTACCTGCTGGCGAGAAAACCAGTAATTAGGAAGATGCATTTTTCCAATTAAAAAATCTCTTCACGATACTATGAATGAATTGAATAATGACTGCATTGACTGACTTCCAATTTGAGCACCAGCTTTAATTTTGGGATATATCAACAAGCTGAATCAACAATCGAATAATTCATCAAATTTCCATAAGATATTTTGGACCATCTACCTAGAAATGTATATAAATAACATGATTCATAACAACCAATTATCATTTTGTGTCATGCTCTGTTAAACTATCATAACAAACGTGTAAATGCTTTCTCTAAGTGAGCACCACTGTAATTTTACACCTACAAAATTCTATACCCAACTATAATATCAGTGCCCCTTCATGTGTCACTAATAATATTTGAATATTTTTTCTGGTTGAAGATAAATTATCAGAGCTTGTTAATACGAGCAACGATTTGTTGGAATTATATTAGAAAAAAAACTTCAATTTGAGAGAATGCGAATTCTCAATGTAATTCTCGATATATATATATCTTTTTTTTGTGTGTGCATGATTATATCTGAGAATATTCCTTTTCAATACTTTTCCAATCAAGGGTTTCAAACTTGAACAATGGAAACTTGTAATTTTTATAGACCTCAATCGCAGATTCGCGATTAGCTTTCCTCAATTCAGAATTCCTTTCCACGTCCTGTATGATGAATATCAAATTATCATACATCCAAAAACAGTTGCCCATAATCCTCAGATGTCAGTTCGTTATAGTTTTAGTTATATTATCGGCAATTGAAAATTGTGTATATCATGAAGAATGGCTGAAAGAATATCTGGACTTCAGTTTACTGATGAGGATTTGATATCCGAAATGAATTCATTCGAGGAAAGTCATGAGAGATATAGTTTCCATATCACTGATACGAATGCGATTTTTCTTGGGTTCCAAGCTCATCAAGATTAGGAGTTCATACAAGTACACTTCTTATATACATTTCAATTTTCTTCAATACTGAACGTGGGTATATTAATTTTTTTTTATATCATTATACATCATATTATTCCATCCGAGAGATGAAGACAATTCCCAATTACAGAGGATTTTCATTTTCCATGCTTTCTTTTCGGATGTTCAACAGATATAATTCAATGTTCGACGTGGTAAAATAGCCAGGAAAGTAGTTGTTTTCTGTTGAATATTCAGAATAGATGTACTTAATTCAATGTTTGTCGTGGCATATAGTCAGGAAAGTAGTTGTTTCCTTCTCAATGAACCGAGAAATAATTGACATTTACATCCCATGGATAATGCGAATTCTCAATGTATTTCTTATATGTACAGTGTCATTCATAAAGTCGGCATCATATGGGAAAAACTTCAAATAATGACTTATTTTGGAATTCGAGTTGGTCGTTAAGTTTTGCTTCGAAAAACTGTTTCTATTTCAATTTTACACATGCTTCTTGAATTTGATCTTTCCATTGCAACTTTTAGATTTTGTTTTTTTTTAAATTTTTGAAATTTCTGTAATAATTGAAGAATGGTTAATTCCACGGAACTACTTCATACCAGTAGCTTTCTCATGCTACTTTTTCTCAATTGATTATTATCACTGATTATGGACAGAAATATGATTTTCTTCAGAAAACGATAATACCCGCTTCCAAATTCTGTTATGTTTGATGCAAAGTTGATATATCGTCAAGCATTTAGAAACGATCATACATAACAAAATTTTGATGTTATGTTTGCATCAAACATAACAGAATTTTGAAGCGGAGATTATCATTTTCTGAAGAAAATCATATTTTTGTCGATAATTAGTAATAATTAGTAATTGAAAGTTAGTAGCATGATGAAGCTACTGGTATGAAGTAGTTTTATCGAATTTACAATTTTTTCAATATAACAGAAATTTCAAAAATTTTCAAAAATATTGAAATCTAAAAAATGTAACAGAAAGATGAAAGAGTCACATATGTAAAATTTGAATAGAAACATCTTTTTCATGTAAACTTTTTCGATATTCGAACAAATAAGTCTACTTTCAGCGATTAATTTGAAAAAATGTCACTTTTGACATGTAGCGAAAGTCACGTGACCCCGATTGAGTAGGCCATTTTTCATCTTTTTTGAAGCAAAACTTAACGTCCAACTTGAATTTCAAAATAAATCATTAATACAAGTTTTTCCCATATGGTGCCGACTTTATATGAATGACACTGTATATCCATTTTTCTATGAATAATTATATCTGAGAAAATTCTTTTTCAATGTATGAAACTTCATTGATAATATTGATATAATGGAAGAATCCAAGTTTCATCATTTCATCTAGAAGGATACGCTAAAATATGTATGTTATGAATGATGCTTCAATATTTGATGAAGTATATACTTTATATTTGAGCTAATGGGATTCATCCTACTCCAAGTAATACAAAAAAAATCCCGAACTAATTAGATTAATTCCTTTATAATTAAAACGAAGTTAATGGATGTTTGAATTCGATCAAAAATGTAGATCAACACTTCCTATTCTACAACGACGAAGTCAGCTTCCTTCTGAAAGGAATTCAAAACATGCAGTGGAAAATACTTAGCGAACATCCATTTAACTACTAGTCGAGAGCATCTGACCCGCTATAAAGGAGCTTGCTCACTTTAGAAATCCGGCTGAAGATCCGGAAAATGTCGAAAGGAAATGTGAAATCAGATTAGCGATTCCTGTTTCACAACAATCGGATGATTCTGAACTTGCTAGGGGAGATAGGAGAAATACATATTATTCATGTTGGAATTGATGAATTCTCCACTATAAGGTTAGATACCTACTGGTGCTATTGATAGGGATTTCATATTCAATATCTATTACAAGTAACATTATTGTAAAAATTTCACAAGGAACGAAATTTCCACTAAATACCCATGAACACATCTTTTTTTCAATAGGAATATTCTCAGATATATTTATGAACACAAAAAATTGATATATATATATATGTATATAAAGAAATACATTGAGAATTCGCATTCTCCATGTGATGAAAAAATTCATTCTTTCTCGGTTTATTCAACAGAAAACTACTTTCCTGGCTATTTGCCACGTCGAACATTGAATTATATCTGTTGAATATCCAAAAAGAGAGCATGAAAAATAAAAATCCTCCAAAATTGAGAATTGACATTCGGGTCGATTCTGTTTGCAAATAGCAATATGGTTGTAGAGAAGATATTGCTATCATAGCAAGATTCGAAAAAGTGGAATTCTAATCATCGATTTTTGGCAATATGATCTGTCGATTTCAATGACATCTGGTTAGCTCTCTTGCTATCTCGGCAACATCAATTTTGTGCTTGCTATCTGATAACAAGGTAGTGGATTCTTTGTTTTTGCACTACAAATTCTTCCAACTGTATGAAAATTCAGAAAATAGTGGATTAAAAACATATGAGAGTTCAGTTGTGTCACTGACTACTCGAAAACCTTTCCTCAAAGTTTCAATTCGTAGAAGAATTATTGAAAAACTTGGTGATTACAAACATATAGGATAGGTTCACTGCTGTGTACTGTGACCAACTACTTGAAAACCTCTTCTTGAAGTTCCAATTTGTAGAGGAAATATGAGACTACAATTTCGGCATATCAGAGAAATTTCAGTTGCCTGATACCAAATACAAAATCTCTCGATTTGAACAATATAATTTTGTAAAATGTCAGTGCAGGTCGCAGGACTGACTAATTTGAGAGGTTGAACTCTTCTTCTTCATGAAATAATGGCAAAATCGATACCTAACACTTGAACAATTAGTTGAAAACAGTGTTGTCAGCTAAAAAATTCTCAATTTTTCAACAATATTGCTATCACTTGAACTTATAACCAGTCTTGCAGTTACTCTGCAAACAGAATACAGAACTTCATAGCAATATTGTTATATGTTATGATCATAACAATATTATTATCTTAGCAATGTTATAATAAGATCCGAACAGAATCGACCCGATTATCTCTCAAATCTTATGGAATGATATGATATATTATGATATAAAATCAAAACTCAACAATATGTTCAGGATTGGAATGGAAATTGAAACGTGTTGGAAAAGTGTAATTATATGAACTCTGATCTTGATGAGCTTGGAACTTCGAAATAAGATCATTCGTATCAGAGATTATATCTCTCAAAAACAGGTAATATGACTTCACTTGAATGAAACTCATTTCGGATATCAAATCCTCATCAGTAACCTGAGGTCCAGTTATTCTTTCAGCCATTCTTCTTGATAAACACAATTTTCATCTCCCTATAATATAACTAAAACTATAACGAACTGACATCTGAAAATTATAATTTGTTGACATAACCACTGTCATCTGGGAATTTATTTTTGATTGTATGATATTTTGATATGCATCATACAGGACGTGGAAAGAAATTCTTAATTGAGAACACCTAATCATTTTGAACCATTTTGATGAACTCAATTTGCTGACAAATCAAGAAATTTGGCATTTTTGACAGGATCAAATATTTTTAGCATTACACCTGTCGATATGAGTAAATCAGACTCGATAAGACTAGTCATGGCCTACTCAGATGGAAGATAAAAAACGAAATTAAAATCATCAATGAAGTTTGATATGTCACTTATGTGGTATCATTGGATTCAGAAAATGATGAAGAAACTGCAATGATACATAGGGTTTTCCATTTGAAAATCAAAAGTTAGTACTATTTCCGGTGAAACTGAAAGTGGAAAATAAAACCTATTTATGTCAAAACATGCAGATTTTCGAGTGGACGGGTCATTCAAAATGTTGATCAATCAACTTTGAAACTAATGGAGAAAAAGGGGGTGTACCGCGATCCTGTTACACCCAGTATACTATTCCGATATTGAAGTGATAAGTTGTTGGGGCAAACCATATACGTATTAATAAACAATACGGATCATAACGGGTGCCAGGATGAAGCCAAAAATATGAAACAAATGAATATCCATAAGGATTTGGTGGCATGATACGCATGCGCCATGCGTCATCAAAGACATGCGTTTCGGTGGACAATGACGTTTACTAGCCTTTCAATCAAAGCAGTATGTGTCTGATGGTATCTCACTTTTCCTTATGGATAGTCATTTGTCTTCAAAAATCGGCTTCATCTTTCGCTATGGAAACAGATAGATTATCCGTATTGATTATTAATACGTACAAACATGTACATGAAACACATCTTTCGTATTACGAAATATAACACAAAATGTCTTCTCTCTCCATACTATCCATTATGATTGTATCTTTCAAATTCATCGATTCAAGAACGATGCTACGTTACTGTCATCATTGAGCTTACGAAATATTAAATAAAATGCAGAAATGCAGTGACTTCTCGAGGCAAAACAGTTGGAATTGGCCAAATTAGAACTCATTATCATTTCACTTAGTAGATCTGTTCTGATAATACCTTGTCTCTGAAATAATAATATCATTACAGTAGAAAGAATTAATAGTCCACTCCAGACAATGAAGCAATTATATTTTGCGCATATTATTCATATCAATTGTACCACTTTCATAATGAACAGAATAACAAAAGCCCTGTGGGAAAAACTTCTAAAATTTCATGTCACGTTCATTATAATACTCTTTGCCTCACAGTCTGTTTAGTTTTTCTCGTGCAACCCTTCTGTCTGATACCCTTGTTTAAAATCGTGTCTAGAAATAATGTTTGTGTTTCATAACAGTAGGGGATTGAAGAAATAAAAAAAACAGTTCTTCATCCCCATCAGAGAAAAATACCAATTTTCCTCCAACGCATTCCATTTTCATGAGCGTAATATTTCCGGAGATAAAACTTATTGAGAAATATGGGAAAACAAACTCATTTCCCAGAATCATAAAGATACGATAGCGATGATAAAGTTCGTATTTCAAGTTTTTACAGCAATGTCTCAAAAAGTATCACGTACAATAACAGGGAGTTCAGATTTATGAGGAACTGTTTATTTCAATAGGTATGTTTATGAAGGGAACCTCCATCTGGAAATTATATTCACCCGAAAATGTCCACTTCTCAAAGAAACACCCACAATATTATAAATCAGAGACTGAAACCTTTGGCACGATAATACACTATACACAGTTTTACCGATTACGATTTTTCACACCTTGACGAGTGTTTCGCTAACTATGTTAGCATCTTCAAGAGAAAATCAAAACTAAATGCTCTATCCTAGTTGGTTGAGTTAATTAACCATAACAGAAGGCTGAATGGGATAGGTCTATTATTCTTTTTCATTACTCTATTACTATCTATTAGAACAATGCAATAGTAATCCTGGTTTGCATACAAGAAGACCCCTCTTTATCTACACCATCACAGGTATTCTGCAAAGTACAGTTCACAATATTATGTTCAAAGAATCGAGATTGAAGGAATATACATACAAGTCAGACACTACAGGAAATCAAACCAGCTTATTCTGAAAAGAATTTGAAGTTCTGCAGGAAAATCCATGCTTTGAGGAGAACTAGACACTACCTGGATACTTTCATAATGTCTGATGAAGCAAGTTTCCACATTGATGGTAGGGTGAATGAGCATAATTGCCGCATTTGGGCATTGGAAAATTCAAAAAACAGTCATGAACATGTCAGGGACTCTCCAAAAGTGAACGTTTGTTGTGTCATGTCAAAGCAGAAAATGTATGGTTGATTATTTCTCAATAATCCAATTATTAAACTCTTATTCGTACTGAAACATGTTGGACAACTTTTTCTATTCACAATTGGAACAAGGTAATTTGATTTCCAACAAGATGAAACTACACCCCTCTAAGCAGCGATCACAAGAGATTCTTTGATTGTACTTTTGGATAACGTTGGATTGGAAGAGGAGGCCCAATTCTATAGCCACCAAAATCTCCAGACTCATAACAGTAATTGATTTTTTCTTGTGGGGTTACGTCAAGAGTTTTTGCTACAATCCAGTGCCTCAAAATATCGATTAACTCAAAGGAATTATTGGTAACGAGATAGAAAGTATTCATGTCGATATGTTGAGTTGCAATTTTGATAACTTCATGGAAACAATGAACGTACGTATTCAAAACGATGGAGGATATTTTGAACAGCTGCTTTAATTATTCATGTTCACTCTGTTATTTTTCCAGTGTTGAACTGCTGTTGAACAAAGCAATTAAACTTATCATGTTTCTGCATCAGATTCATACTCTATATACGGTAATTCAGAATTTCAGGATAACATCCTAATATGCAGTAAGAGAAAAGACCGGTCTTCCTGAATGTGCAAAAATATACAGGGTGATTCAATGAAATGAAAAAGTTGTCAGTACCTGAATAATGGCTTGTTTGTTTCTGGTAAAATCGGGAGTTCAAGGAGAAAGATGAACCCGTGAAGATAAAACTTGAAAAATAGACTAGTCCAATCAGCACAACAATAACTTGAGAGGTTCCAAAGATATGAAAATTTGCAATAGGTCAGAATATAACTAATTACCCGATATGTTTCATTCTTGTTTTTTCCTATTGAAACATTAGGTTTCTAATTCCGGGACATTGAAAAGAGATCCTGATCACAAGAATACTTGTGGAATAGATTTTGGCGAATTACATAGGCACATGAAGCAATTCTAGCTAGAACCAGCTCATATCCCAAAATGTCTGTGGTGGCAATGCATTAATAATGATAATGATAAATCATTCATTGTCCTTTTGATAATACAAATATTGTGAAGGAATAGTCGAGAAATTTGAGAAGAACACCAATTTATACCTTATTTCCCTTGGTTCTCACGATGTTCCCTGAATATTACAGGATATCCCTTTTCGTGGGACCCAGAACATGAAAAAAAATTAGGAAGGATCCACTCATACATACCCTTGAAATATTGTATATTAATAACTGACATTGATATCCTGAGCTGGGAGAAATGCATGAATGATCATCAACTCTCTCTATCACCTCTTTAATCATATAAACAAGTCGTATCCATTTCGCTATGATATCAATAATCGTATAATCCGGACGTAAGCACCGGAATATCAATACATTACTGATAATTATGGATGGAGCAAGCCGAACACTAGCAATTTTCTATGAACGAAATCCTGTTCGTGAAGGTCGATTGATCTTGAAAAATTCTAGGTAGAAATGGACTGTTATAGCCAGTCTGTTCTAATGACCGTGATGTGGTCTAGATAACGAGACTGGAAAAAATGCATTTACTTGCTATATTTGATACACTCCTATTTACCGGGGCTGTGAGAAAAATTATTCCATCAGAACAGATAATTTCATCTCATGAAAGAAAATACTGGCTGTGATAGATCTTGTCACATGGGTTATCTACAAAGCAGTTGATATCAATCTCAAAATGATGAATTGATTTTTTCATCAACCGTATTATTGAAAACTGTCTGTAGAAGGATCAAGGTGATAGATTTTTTGGGATTTTTTCCTTCTTCTCGTCCGCAATATTGGATCTACCATCTTGAATTCCCTTATTTTGACGGAGGAATCACAATTTTTGATCCCGAAAACGCCCACTCACAAATTTCGAATAGAATCGGTATATAATCACAAAACTCATCCGGTATATTGGTTCCACCGTCTTGAATTTCCGAATCCCACCCTTTCCAAATTTTGACGAAAGAATCATAATCTCCGACCCCGAGAACACCCAGATAACAATGTTGAGGGGAGTCGGATCATAATTACAATACTCGTCCGCCATATTGGGTCCGCCATCTTGAATTTCCTGATTATTTTTTGTTGATTCTAGCTGTATAATAAGCTGTATATTGAGTGATGAAAGGATATATCTAGTGCAAATAGCAGAATCAGTTCCGGTTATGAGTATTATTGTTCCTAGATAATCTCTTATTAACAACCATTCGAATATGGCGATCATTGCTGGGAAATTCAGCAACTTATTGCTCTGGAAATTGACAGTGCTCCTAACTGAAATATCGATAATAAGCTCTAAATCATAGGTTGTAATCTCAACACGAAGAAACCATCAGTATTCTTTGCAAAATATCTCAGTTTCTATGAGACCCACGTGATCCTTACTGGAAAAATAGTGATGATAGCTGAGCTAGTGGTGGTTAATTTTTGTAGAGGGTACCAAATATTCAGTTGTCTGTTTGCTAATATCACTGAGTTGTAGCATGCTATTTCTTGACATCGTATAAAATAGAGCCAAGACGGTCCAAAAACTCAAAATTCTCTGAATTATTTCAATTTGATATCCTCTATTCATTGGCCTGAAGAAATTGAGTCAATCGATTGACTCCTTTCAAACATCTTTCGATTTATCGTAATAAGAAACTGATATTTTCTTCTCTAGCGTTATATAATTTCTTCATTTTGACACCGAAAGATATTCCTAGATGTCAGCAACGATCAGTTTTCCGATACGATGACGCAAACGATCTATTGTTGTTGTAGTTCCATCCGAGTATTACATTGTAAATTCTTTGAAGTCACCAGGTAACCAACACCTTTCTATACAAACCGAGAAATTTCATCAACAAGCAGGTCATATCCAATTCCTTTTACCTATTTGTATTTATTTCTTGCATCGTTTTCTGCTCCACTAAGACTTCAATAATGAAAAGTATTGAAAAGCAGCATCCTTTTTTTGCCCCTCGATGAATATAAGAGCAGATCTTTGGAGCTACCGACCACAACCCAACAAGCCAGTGTCTCGAACCATGCAGTACTCCGTGGTGCTCAGCATCATCGTTCTGATATCGGGAGGCTGCGCTTCTGAGCTTCAGGGGTTCCAGATCGTGGCAAAAGTTTTCAGACAGTTCCTCAAGTCCCAACCGGAAGACTTGTTGCTAGGGGATGGAGTGCACATAGTCAGTACTAGCGGTGCTAGCGGAGAGAATGGTGCCAGGGCTAACGCAGATGATGGTAGTGTGCTCGGGGTGCTGGAGCACTATCTGGATAACCACGAGCTGAGGATCAGGCTGCCGGAGTTGATGCCTGGAGAAGGGTTTGGAAGGGCTTTCAAGGATGCCATGAACGAGGTTGAAGGACAAAAAGATACGAGTGAGTTTTGGTTCATATTTATTCTCTGATCACACCAATATTAATATGCTTCTGAATCGATTCATGGAAGCTCATTCAGAAATAATATGGTTATACAGGGTGAGTCGAGAATGTGTACTTAGCTTCATGAAGGTGATAAAACATTGTTAAATTAATATAGTATGATGAATGCACTAATGGCTCAAAATGTATACTGAGGGAGTTCCATCTCTCAAAGTTCATAAAATTGAAATTATATTTCCGCATAATTAAAGAGGGTGGGTCATGATTTTTTGAAGACAATATCTTTCCTCGAATTCTCTCAGGTTTAGAAATAGGAGCATTTCATAGAGCTGAGAATAATTACACAGAAAGATACTCTTATCGAAATACGAAAATTGTAACCGTTTTATAAATACTTGAGTTTTTTGTAGTTACCTGATATCAGCATATAAATTCCTCAGTATTAATATTTCAGGAGACATAGAACTTCTTGGCCGGATAAAATCTCTATTTTTCGTTCCAAAACTATTTTGCACAATCCTTAAAATCGTTCTAAAATTTGGTGCGTCGAGCGGGAAACACCCGGTATAACAAATAACCTGCAAATTCTTGAAATCTCGGTTTGAAGTCGCAGTAATAATATTACTTTGCGAAAAAACTGAACAGGGAAATCAACAGTAACAACGTTCATGTCCTTAATGTCGGAATCAAGAACAAAATTGAATTATCAATCTGCTGATATTCTGCGCCTATAGAAACTCAAATATCTCGAAAAATGGATACAATTTTATTGTTACGATAAGAGTACCATTTTCATGTATTTTTTTTTGCTCTATCGAATGCTCTCAGTTTCTCACCAAGGAGAATACGAGTAAATGAGTTATCTTGAAAAAATTATGATCCACACCCTTTATAACAATATCAGGAATGTTCAAGTGTATCAGAGAAATTAATTTTATCAACAAACATTCATGCAAGAAATTTTGATATAGTGGCTTTCACCATTTGGAAGCTATGCAGGAGAATTATTTCAATCCTATCAACTTTGGAAATATATATCTCCCTTTATATGTATTCTTTCTGGGATATTTGTTTATGCATCAAATTCCATTCAGTTTCCAATATAAAATCACCTCGGTGAACATTTTTGACCCATCCTGCACCATAGATGTGAATGTGATTCCCTATTCACAATTATATTTGAGGGAAAAGAACTATAAGCCTTCAAGTCCTGGGGAGGTCATCATCAGAAGGACAAAACAACGACTGTGGAAATTATTTCTCTTTTAATCTAGTGGCCTCAACTTCCACAGAAACTCATTCTGAAGGTCGTCATATACACTATTTAGTGAATATCATCACAGATATGTATAATTCGTGATCATGAATAGCCTTATAACTATCGTTTTCAAATTGCCTTGAAGAATTGCAAAAAAGTTCACAAGGACATAGAAGCTATTACTCATTTCAATTTATGTCATAAAATATGTATACAGATTCTTAATCAAGTCGTTATATGTATATCAAAAGTTCAGGAAATTTACGGTTGTATTCCACTGTGTTGAACAAACGTTCGGTAACTGAATCAGTCTCTCTAGCTATGTTGCCATTTACATCCTATATGTGTAAGAATTTGCCGAATTATTTGTATAGAAATCAATGATTCTAGAATTGGTTGAAAAAATGAGCTATAGATGGTAGTGATTAGTACGAATTCTACAACTGATTCATCTCCTAGGGAAAAGTCGTATCTCAGATTTGTAGTCCCTAGAGAATGGTTTCGCTAAGAGTTGAAGCAAATCCAAGTTCTTTGATAATTAATCATATTTTTTCGGGACAGAAAAAATGATTCGAGGGTCAAATGCGAAATAAAGTATGTATTCAAGGAGAATGCCTGATATCCAGCTATTTTTTCAAGGCTTAATGTATTCAAGATAGTCGTATGTTTGGTATTCCGACATTATATGATATGGACCAACATCACCCTAATATATCATTCCTAAGTCTTAGTTTTAACGATCTGGTACAGAAAGACAGAGCTCAACAGACTGTGGATTCATCCATCTCCATTTTACTTCCAAACAATCTGGTCTGGAAACATAACTATTCAGGGGTTTCCGCAGATTTATTTGCTTGTGTCACATACACAATTGTGGTTCTGAATAATTAATGAATCGTCTATCTACACTTGAAATAATATTGTGAGCAAACAATCCAATGCAGGATATCCAAAATATCTCATTTCATTCGAAATGCATGTCTAGAATTGAGAAGTAATGAAGTATATACATGAAAAAAATGTTTGAATAGTTATTTATTATACAAGGGAAAAAAGTAGTAGATTTTAGCTCCAGGTTTTGTTGTCTCCCGACGCGTAGCGGAGGGAGAAGCTGAAATCTAATATTTTTCCCGTTTATAATACACTATTTTTTTTTGTGTCAGAAGAAAGGACGAATCAATATTGAGAAAATATTACATTATTTTGAAATCTGAAGATTATCGACGTTAAATTTTAAGTTTCTAACAGAAGGGACACCTGCGTTGTATGCATCTTTATCATTCTTTTGAAGTAATCAAATATCTGATATCACTTCTGTCAGTCTGATACTGTGATTTGATTTCAAAAATTGCGAATGAAGTGGTTGTTTAGTAATAGGTATGTCGAATGGAAGATAAAAGGACTTGCAGTTCTTTCTCGGAGACGGTATTATTGACTCATTTTTCGGAGCAATAGCACAACAAAAGCCATCAACAGTGTATACATATGTGATATACAAGGTAACTCACGGTCGATTGTACGTTAGACGTTTATGGAGAACGGGACATAGGATCATTCTGAAAATTTGATTACTCACGTAGTTGCTCTTGGTCTATCGATCTAAAATATTTTCAGCTCTGCGGCGTTGCCGCTTCTTTCGAAAAGTAGCAACAACTTTGTTATTTTAAATGGAACACCCTGCATTTTATTGCATTTTAAGATTCTCTCTGAAGAGCTGATTTCATCGATGTATCACACTTGGGGTCTAGCGGAAATGATTACAGCGATATAGGGTGTGAAAAATCGACATTTTTCAACTTTAGGATTTTTTTTTGTCGAAACTATTCATTATTGGTCAAAACGGCTCACATGTCCCTATCTCAACTTTTGATCAAATATCTACAGACATTTAATTGAAACAAATACAGGGTCGTGCAGAATTCAGAATCTTGATCACCCAGTATATGTCCTCTAGTATCATAGTCATGAACAGTTCTAAATTTGACCAATATATTTTCCAGATATTGAGGACATGTTGATCTTGTGGATGAATACCATGACATTGTACTCCATGAATGATTCATTATCCAACCAGTTCAGGATACATAACAGATTGAACGGAAGTTCTATAATCACATCGTAATATAACTCTCATGACTCTATTTTGCGATTTCTGTAGTCTCTCTATTTCACTTCGATTTCCCATGTATACAATTGTGGGGCAATTATTGAAATGTGGTAGAATAAAAGTGTAATAGATCAACTTCCTAGAATACAATGTCAAATATTTACTCACTATAGACAAAACACCAATTTTTTTAGCAATTTCCCCACAGGTATAATATTCAATGTGTTTATCGAACCTCTTTTCACTATCAACTATTACCCCCAGATATTTAATTTCATCCACAAGTTCGATTTCTCCACTATAGATTTCAAAATTCGAATTATTTTCTTCAAATTGTGTGAGGACATTGCCGTTCGCTATCAGTATAGCTTTTGTTTTTGTTCTTTTCCATATAAATCATTGTTTCATCGGCAAATAAATAATATTTGCAATTTTGAAATATATATGCTGGATGTCATCGATGTATTATAGTACAAATAATAATGGTCCAAGTATGCTACCTCGAGGTACTCCCACATCAACACCTAATTCACTCGACTCTGTATCTCCAATTTTAACTTTCTGTCTTCGATTATTCAAATAGTACTGTATCCATTTATTTATATACATTACCAGTAATGCTTTCAATTTGTCGAGTGATGTTATTCTGTCGATAGTTTCAAAAGCTCTTTTCAAGTCTACAAAAATCATTCCTACTATTTTACTCGCATCTTTATCCTTCGTTCCATCCATTTAAAACATATTGTTGTGCTGTTCCACAACTATATTCCTTCCTGAAGCCTGACTGATAATCATATAGTATTTGTATTCAAATATGTACTGTTTTAGTTGAACACATTCAGCCTCTTCAAGTATTTTTTCAATATCTGGTGATGTATTTATTGGTCGCATGTCTTCAGCATCGATGCTGCTTGCAATTTTTTTATTAGGAATTATATTTGAGACTTTGAGTTGTTTTGTGTTGCATTGCAGGAGTTCATAACAACTCTCCCTTACTTTTCCAGGTTCAGCCAGAGGCAAAGGCGGTGGCGGCGGCGGAAAAGGCGGCGGCGGCGGCATGGGTGGCGTCATGGTAATGGGTCTGATGATGGGCAAAATGCTCGCTGCCCTCGGCATTGGCGGCGTGGGTCTTCTCGCCATGAAAGCTCTGATGGTGTCAGCTCTGGCACTCATGCTGTCAGTCATCATAGGACTCAAGAAGCTGGTGCACTCCGACCACGATGACGGGGGACACACGGTGATCCACGCGGGTCACGGGGGTCACGGGGGTCACGAGTACAGGAAGAAGAGGGAATTGGCCAGCGGAATGGCTTACAAGGGTTGGAACGAGTATGAGACTAGTTAAGAAGAGGGTAGGGTTTGTAGGCACAACCATATCTTTCAATATTTATTGATACAATAGTCAGAATATCGTTATGATCACAATTTGATATGATCTCGGTGTGCCTAAATCAACCAGATAATTGTTACGGTAACATACATTTCTCACCGTGTGTGAAGGAATTGTGATCGTTGTGAGATGCTTATAACTCTGCGTGGTTCGTTACTCTATTTATCTATATGTACTGAAACAAGTATTAGTCTACTTCAGAAGGAATCAACATCGATGAGATGTGCTGCGTTCGCTTCTGAATTTTTATGTCAATACTCTTCAATTTTGCTTGTAGATAGAGACATATCAGTTCCCAGTATACACATACATTCCTGGAAAGTCCAAGTCTTCAAAATATCAGCTATTTCAATTCCATTGGTAGCCTCTTCCCAAGTCCCTGGTATTTTGATGTCACAATGCCTCAATGGAGTCAAATACTCTCAAATTCAACTCTCAGATGAAGGCGCTACAGTTCCCAGTACACGGTGTATTCACTTCTACATTTTCTTCAAGTCAGAATGTCTGAATGGACTTAAAAACTCCTGAATGTTGCTTGTAGGTGATCACATCAGTTCTCAGTTGACACAAAATACTTTGAGGTGATTGATTTTCCATTGTGTCATGTCAGGAGGTCTCAATGGACTCAAGGACACTCCAATTCTGCTTGTAGTTGTGGAAACTTCATTTCCCTGTACACAAGAAACTTCAGTGTGTTTACTTTTCCATTTTATTCATGTCGAAATATCTCGATGGACTTGAAGACTCTCCAATTCTGCTTGTAGTTCAATTTCCAGTACATGAAATGATTTCTGAAATGCCAGAACCATCACGTTTGGCATAGTGCTAGAGCAGACCACCATAGTGAATTGGTGGAATCGCTAGGGAATCCTGTATTTGACATAACGATTCTATCTGTCATCATCGGGCTGTAGAAGCACTAGAAAAAAAAGAAGAAGAAGTAGGAGAAATTGTCCATCGAAATGACTCACAATGGTCGGAACGAGTATCAGACTAGTGAAGAATCAATTGCGATCTATAAAAGATGCTTTGAACTTTGCTGTGTTTGATTTTCCATTTCATTCATATCAGAATGTCTCCAGAATTTTGCATGTAGATGGAGGCATATTAGTTCCAAGTTAACACGAAATACGTTGAGGTCATTGATTTTCCATTTCATTCATATCAGAATGTCTCCAGAATTTTGCATGTAGATGGAGGCATATTAGTTCCAAGTTAACACGAAATACGTTGAGGTCATTGATTTTCCATTATGTCATATCAGGACTGTCAAGTGGTCTCAATGGTCTCAAAAACTGTGGAATTTATCTCCGAGGTGGATGCACTTCAACTCCCAGTACACACAGAACTTTGTTATGTTCACTTCTTCATTGTTTTTTATGATAAAATTCCTCGGTGGGCTCAGAGACTCCGGAATGTTGCTTGTAGGTGGAGGCACATCAGTTCCCAGTTGCAACAAAATACGTGAACTCAAACACTCCTATCCTATTCGATCGACTAGCTGATAGCATAGTTATCAACATCTCACAACAGTAAGTAATATTACTATTTGCATCATATTTTTGAGTTATTGATTTCTCAGTCTTTGTTGGTTCTCGTAGTGCATTTGAATTTTGCAATTCATCAACTGAATTTGTGGTTGAAAGTCCTTTTCAACACATATTATAATTTTCAATTGACTTGGACTTGGAGCACCACACTGTAATACATGCATATCACGTCGTGGGGTTACTATTTTTTGAAGACAAGGGAATTCCGAAGTAATACAGCAAAAAAATAATGGTTATATTTATCAATTTGAATAAATAGAACTTCACTGAACTAGGCAAAATAGTAAATGAAATGTAAAATTAACTCAAAACTATTTTGCAATTTCGTGAGTATAGATACCCAAAAACAAGTTCAAAGGTAATATAAATTCTGGTAGACGTTCAATCAATAACTCGAAATATATCACAGGTTCTCTAGTTTCAACTAATGTATTTTCAGTTAGTTATTTATTCATATCGTTATAATTATTTATTGTTATATTATTATAATTCACATAACTTGACGCGACTGACATAAGACTAACAACGTTTTTTGACATTTTTGACGACGAAGTTTCAAGGACTCTTTCTTTAGACTCGAATCATCACTTTCATCATCATCATCATTTTCATTATGTTCATCTTCACCTGTCTCCACTGTATATATTTTCCCTATTTGTTAGCTTATTTTCATATTCATCTAACTTTTCAGATTATTTTTTGTTATTTCTATTTCTATATTTGTAATCTAGTGCAAATTGAGATTTTCACCTCAATGAATATCATAGTGAAGACACAATTTGTACCATATATCTTCATTCTTTCCTCTAGCTCCAGCTGTATTCTCAGAATTTATTTTCATCATACAATCTTTCTCAGGTACAAATCACCTATCATTTCATCCAAATAAAAGACTGCTGAATGAATCTGAGTTTGATTCAAAATAACCAAATATAAGCCTCATTCCTTCATTTCCTACTTTATACCATTCCGTACCCATAAGGGCTAAGGGCTGATTGCATAAACAACAATAGTTATTTGTACACGAAGGTGTATATCGAATTGTTCCACCACCAGACATATATTCCAATCATCATAGTTCTTTGAAAGCACTTCTCTTGAATTCTGTTTAAAATCTATCAGCCATGATCATAACAGCACATGACAAGCAGTGATTGATAAATACCTACTAGATTCAAGTGACATTCCTACAAACCTTGAATCAGAACAGTGACTTCTAGTTAATTATGACAGAGTTGGCTTTGTCTAGAAGTTTATAAAATGACGAATACTACCACGGTAAAAAAACACTTGAGCCGTTGAAGAAGAGTGGTAGGTTCTATGGCTAGTGGTGGAAAAAGATGAATATGTAATTGTCTGTCAAATGCTCCATGCCCAAAGTGATCATTGATCAAGAAATAAACGTTTTGGAGATCACTCAGGGTTACCCTGTATAAAGCTGACGCTGCTGCTATCGAATCCGTTCCGAAAGCGTAGAAATTTCTCTCAATTATTCTTATTATCTTTCTCAAGTTCAGTGGAAGTCAGTAACCCACTGACCTCGATACGAAGACGAGTTCCATCGAGAAGAATTCCCTTTCTTAAAATTTCTTCTCGCGAGATACCTGTACACCTTACACACATTCTCTCGGCATTGAAGAGAGCTGAAGGCGAAGTCAAGGTAAGACGAGATACCCAACAAGTTCATGGTAAGCTAGAAAGTGTTTCTCAAGTAGGTCAAAGATCCGGCAATAACGAGAGAAATCTGATGCTCCAATGGGTGGAGCTCACACAGAATAGATGCTCATACCTACCCAAATAACATTCAAATTATATTCCTTTAATATGCTGATGACTAATCATGTTGCATATATAACAAAAAATATCGATTTATCTTGAAGATTTATGGGAACTGTTTCCTTAGAGATGGAATTCCTGACCTTCACTTTCAGTTTGAAGCATCATAGTGTGACAAATCTTTTTCAGATAGCAATAAAGAGTAGAGGAGATGGTTTAGTCTTATGCATATGTTCCTCCGTTAACATAGAGAATGGTACTATGGCTTCTCTGAAGGAGTTCTGTTTATAAAGATCCAATGGAGACCTGAATACCTACATTCAGATGTTTAGAAAGCTGCATCCTCATTCTCTATGCCGTCTGATCAGTGATTATTCTGGCAATCTATCAGAAAATCTTGTAATGAAATGAGAAATGGGAATGTATATGTATGAATTTGAATATTGAAATTTGTTGTATTTTAGCAAGATTATCAACAGCGTCTACAGTGTTATAAAAAGTATTGATGAAGATATCACAAGCAAGATGTTCTTTCTTGATTAGTTCTCAAAAGGATCGTTTTATGAAACATATACTCTATAAATATTTGACAATGGCTTTATAGGAGCTCTCACGAGTGATAGTTTTATTATAATATTTTATGTTTTATTATTGTCTATCTTCGTTGTTTTTTATTTTTAATCTCCAACTAAGGCTTTATACGAGCATTTGATTGTGTATTTTCAAATGTGTTTCAGAAAACTTCATATTCTGAATCGCACATTGTTCATTATGTTTCATTTGAGTATGTATATGTACAAGCTTTGTCAACAAATACGAATGTATTTATGGCAATGAAGCATGCATTGAATTGAATTAAAAAAAAAGATTAGCTAGGCAAATTGATCGGATCGAGTAATTTACAGTGCAGGAACATTTTGTAAATTATTTGTAGCAAACAATATATCGAGAATTCTGTCTATAGATTGATTGAGGAGGAACAATATCTTTTTCTGTAGTTGCACATTGGAAGAGTCATTCCAACAGCTTGCTTCAGTCATATAAAAATATTTATTCATTATACAAGGAAAAAAGTATAATAGTTCGTGGTTGTGTTGTTTTCCGACACGTTTTGTGACAGAAAAACGACGATTCAATATTTTGTTATGTTCTGGTTCTCACGAAGAGGGATATCCTGTGATGTTCTTGAGAACCAAGAAAAATAAGGTAGGAATTGGTGTTCTTCTTGAATTTCTGGAGGTGATATGCCTCGGGGAAGATTAAGATATAATAAAATCAGAAATATAACGATGTGGAATTTAAAGTTTCAAATTGATAGGTAGTAGGTACACCTGAATTGGACAGGCATCTTTTTATAGACATCATCATTGTTGCTATGGAAAATTTCTGAAGTAAGTAATCGAATATGTGTGTATTTCTTTCTATGTTTTGATTTTGAAAATTTACGAACTCAGTGGTTGTTTAGTGATTCACATGGATTTACGTAACCGCGAAGTGGTAGATAGATAAGATAAGAAAAATGTATTCGTCAACCAAAGATTATGCAAGGCTTGGGTCATACATAATGTACAAAACTCATCAGACTAGTCAGAAGACGAAACGTTCAAAATAAAATGCAAAAATAGTGTAGGTACCAATAGGTGAAGTTACAAAGACATAAAACATTCATACATACATATTAGAAACTTTGACCAATAGTTAAATATCAACAATCATTAAACTCCTCAACACTTTAAAACACGTTATCAATAAGGAAGTACTTCAATTTATTTTCGAATGGAATATCATTGAATTGCACATCTATTATGTCTTGTATTTCATTTGAACATCTGAAATTTCCACAGACTCAATCCTGTATAGGGTTGTCGAAATTTTCCTTCATTCTTATCATTATACAGGGTGTCAATTTGAAAACTTCCCACCCTTAATATCTCCCTCCAAGTCGATAATATGGAAAAACGAAAAGACAGGTCGATTTCATTTTCGAGGGGGACATGGTTCTAAAATATTTTCAGCCCCGCGGCGTTGCCGCTTCTAACGAAAAGAAGCATCAACTTTGTTATTTCAAATGGAACACCCTGTATTTTATTGCATTTTTAGATTCTCACTGAAAAGCTGATTTCATCAATGTATCTCACTTGGGGTCTAGCAGGAATGATTACAGAGATATAGGGTGTTCAAAATCGAGATTTTTACAACTTTAGGATCTTTTTGAGTCGAAACTATTCATTATTGGTCAAAACGGCTTTTATGTCCCTATCTCAACTTTTGATTTACTATCTACTGACATTTATTTGAAACAAATACAGGGTGATCAAAAGTCTGAATCTTGAACCAGCTTGATTTGGTCGCCATTTTGAATTTACACTCCCAGTGACCCCTCCGAGACACCTATGAAAAAAAAAACCACTAAAAAAGTATTCACGGGCCAAAGTCTATAATGACTGGACTATATTTCCCATGGGAAGGAGTATCCTATGAGAAGTGACATTTTGTGGCCTGTCAAACGTCTTTCCCGTCACAGAAAAAGTACGTTCCTGAAAATTCTACTGATTCAGTTTCCACGTTATTTATGGTGATATAGAAACAATTGAAATCATTTTCCACTGCAACTTCTGCTAAGATTGAACGTCTGGTGAATTTGATTTCCTTATGCGAATCTCAGGAATCTAGACAAATCAACAATATACGAGTATAGTATTATTTGTTTTGTACCAGTGACCTTGCTGATCATGAAAACAATCTCCCGGTTGATTACGTTTATGTTTTCTATGGACCTCACAAAAGTTTCAACTTCCGGGGAGTTAGTTCCAAACTTCGAAGTAGCGATATGCAAATGAAGATGTGATTGAAAGGGTCTTGAATTGCGAACTGATGTAAAATTAATGAATCATTGTGTCACAAAAAGTTGAATATTATTTGCTTGTTGATAAAAACTAGCTCACACATGAATGAGGCGGAAATGCATTGATTTAATCATGAGTACACATGAACCTAATCCAAATTTCTCATGAAGTCAGTAAAAAGTTTTTATTTCCATTAATAGACCATTCACAATTCTTCAATGGTACAAGGCCGATGAGAGAGTGATTATTTAGTCAAATTTAAATTCCTGAGCTACAGCAATCAATTAAATACACCTATGATTTGTGCTGATTTGGTATTCAAATTTTTTTCACCACATAGTTCATGAATGAAAGAAAGCTATACAGGTGTCGATAATAGGTAGGTATGTATACTGTTGAATGTCCGTTTCAATCAGGTAAAGGTATCCGCCATAGTTTGATGATAGGAAATAGAAACGCCAGTGGGAATAAGGAATGAATGATCATCTGTACCTCTATCAAAATCATATTTCTCTTATCTAGAGAAATACGATGAATATTTTATTGA